TTGCTGACACTGGCAACCCGGGATCTTTCTCCATTTATTCCAAATTTTCTGTCCAACGGACCAAAGCCAAATATGTTTTGATTGCTATGTAAGACAAAGAAAAGCAGAGAAGTTGGAATCACCGAATATTTTGACATGTTTGCTTTAAAAAATGAATGAAATTATGAATTTATTATCAAAATAGTTTGCTATTAATTTTCTTTTGATTGACTAGTCGATTAACCGACTAATTGTTGCAGCTTTAGTGTCCTTAGACTTTATAAAATAATATCTTCTATGTTCTCAACCTGATTCATTGAGTGGATGTGAATCTAAGAGATTACACGTGTCTGACCTCTCAAGCTAGTACATTGTGGATAGAGCTACATGTCTGCTGATCAAATAACACCGTCAGGATTATTTTTAAAGGAAGAAGGTCATGAACACTGGCCACAGTATATCTCTTTAGCTGGACTCAAGTTGCTTTTGTAGCTGACTTAACTTGATTAAGTAGGTGCTGACTACCGGCCTGACAGCACCCAAATAAAAACTGAGTGACACGAGGCTCCCCAGATTGTATCCACAACCCATCTAGATAGCACACAAACAAAAATTCCAGTGTACCATTTAACCCCCCAAAAGCACACTCAACTAATCACACCCACAACGACTTATCTCCGCTACCACACACTCAGTTCACAACATTGCGCCCCATAATTTGAGAACAGTTAGTCTCGAAAGAACCAATGAATTCTTATATTCTGCAGATCTCAGAATAGCCTGAGGGAAGCATCTGTAGTTCTCCTGCTTTAAAATGCCTCCAAATAAAATGGACAAGCTACAAACATCTGTTAATAAACCCTACCGGTTTGGAGGAGAAGTTTATATAAAAGCATGTGCAGGCAGTTATTTTACTGACGACATCCTAAAACTAAGCATCTCTGTATGATGGTGTCAGATAATCTCAGCCTCAGTACAAGTGAAGGCAAGCTCATGCTCTTTGCTCCAAAGACCTCTGCTGCGTGAGATAATGTCTTTCCCATCAGGATTTCTCTCCCACACAGTGCCCTGCCCTTACACTTCACCACTGTACATAAACAGTGGAATTCATTGCAGGGTAACCTTTTTTTTTCCCCTTTCGTACTTGTATAATAGTATATTCATCTTCACATGAAACGGATTCCCAGGCACGCAATGGGAAGAAGTCCACTTGTTTTCAGGCTGACTGGATTCCCACCTCACAGTGACTGACAGGTTTGGAATAAAATTATTTTGCAGACCTTTGGAATGGGATGTTAATCAAGGGGGGGGGGGGCACTTTCACAGCAACATCTTTCAAATATCTCTCCCTTTCATTACTCGTGCACTCGCAGCTTATTTTACTCTGAAAAGAGACCACGAAGGATGACAGACTTCTTTCAACACTCTCAACACATTTCTTTGCTGAATTTTAGGGAATACAGATGAGAAGAACAAACAGTTGGTGGGGAGTAGCACAGTACATATCCTCGAGAAATGCACTCCTGTACAATTTGAGGTATTGTGCCTTATATTTTTATTTCATATTACTTTATACATTTACTCCATTGCAAGCTATAGATTGTTACTTTGCAGAATACGATTGAAATCTTTGAATCTAATACATTGCTGAAGAACAAACCTGTGGTTCCCAACATGTTTGGGCTGTGAACCCTGAAAAGAGTTGTTAGTAGTTTCCCCAAAGAGTGATTTCCCCTTTAAACTTCTAACATGGTTACATTTCAATAACTGTTAAAACAACGGGAGGAAAAAATAAAGGAAAATAATGGATTGTGTACCTTTCCAACCAGAAAGCAGTCATCACCAGACAGCGCGACAGACACTGCGGGCAGGTAGACATCAATAGGCTCGCCATTAGTGACTCTCTGGAAACGACCCCTTACGAGGCCCGCAACCTGGAGAGCATACACATCCTGCAGCCTCATCAGGCCCTTGGCGGCCCCCTGGAGGTCTTCCAGTTTGGGCAGATCGCCCTCTTCCTCCTTGTAACTGGACCTGAGGGCTGGACAGCAGAGTGCCAAAAGGTGAACTGGGGGGCTGGGGTGGTGACAGCAGAGAAGAGGAGGGGAGCGTCAGTTATCACCACCAGATGTGTCTGTAAAGAACGCGGTGAGCCAACCTTGTGTGTTCTCCAGGGCTTCATTGCTGTGGACTACATTCAGCCACTCTGAATGCAGCCTCTTGATCAGGCTGAATGCCACCAGCGGGTTTGCCATCGCGGTTGCCGGGCCTTGGTAAAGTTCAGTGTGCAGGTCTGACACTTTGGCATAAAAGCTGTGGGGAAAATTGTAGACTGCAGTTACAAAAAGAAAGAGGAGGCCAAGCGCTCAGACAGTTTTGCATGCAGCAAGTGAGACGTGGGAACCGTTCAGTGCTTTTGAAAAATAGAAAAGAGAATGCTCTCTTTGGTACAACAAGGCTTTATTTAGTCGGGTATATTGGTTGAAAAAAAAAAAAAAGCGACCAATATCCACCTTACAGGGCAGAAATAGTAACAACAGATTGATTAAAGGTGGTACTTTACATCGACAACACACTGGAAATAAACAATCATTAATCAATACTAACAGCTATGATACCAAAATGTTGACATCATACAAAATACATCATATATTTACCATACAAAATGTATAAATCAGTATGAGGAACTATCATTGGGCACGATTAAGAAGGTTGTTTATATAGTAACATTGTGCCATAAGATAACTTAGATTCTTTGACTTTCTGGACGGAAAGATCTGCAACGTTTACCACTATCATCATCAACATCATCATCATAATCATCATCACATATTGTTAAAACTGATGCATAAAGCTGATGCATGACCCATTTTCCAACCTCACATCACAAAACAGCCACCACAATTAAGCAAATGTTTTTTATGGTGAAAGGGGCTCCTCCAGGAAATTAAATTATAAAATTGGTGGGAAGTGACTGGATAAGTCTTTAATAATGAAGGTTTCTGACAGAAACTGCAGCTGATAAAACATCCGAAAACAGAACTTAAACTGTGTTATTTCCACAAGTTTAGACAAATTTAAGTCAAATCTCTTGAGCTGTAAATCAGACAAGAACCGATGTCATCAGGTGACTTGTTTTTCTTTGGTTGGACTCCTGTCATTTTTGTATAATTTCATCCACATGAGGTTAATTTAAATGCAGGATTCCCAGCTGTGGGTCTATGTGACCATAAATCTCCACATGTGCTCTCACCCTCATTCCCAAACGCATGTCCCATTATTACTCACTGTCTGTGGAGGGGTTACAGGGTTTGTCACAGTCTAGTATCTTTACAGTAAGGAGACTTTTCTTGAACTGAAAAAAATGCTGTGAATTAGTCCTTTAACTCACCACAGACAGTTCAGATGTGCGGTGATGTTTCTCAGAGTTGTGGACCAACAAAACCCCGAGGAACTCAATGAATAGTTTAACATGTGTCCTCTTGCATGTCACTCACCGCTTGATGTCTTCCAGTCGCTCTGACTCGTGGTCAATGTAAGTTCTCAAGTAATCGATCAGCTTGCGTTCAACACCGATCGCCTGCTTGACGTTCAGCAGCGACGTATACATTTCACCTAAAGACACGGGGATCACAGCTACAGCCAGGAGACTCCAACTGAGGTAAACGCGTGTGGGATACATCATCTCCAGATTATCTGCAGATAATAAACGTATTCCCTCTCTCCTGCAGCAGCTTCTGCGGGTCAGCTCCTCTCTCACTGCCCTGAACTGAGGATCTTCAGGATTTACAAACGTGCCTCTAAAGTCCACACGCACGGGGATCTCCCTCATCTGCCCTGAGATCAGCTTTCTCCATCTGTTTGATTATGGGACTGGCCTGCAGGCTGTAGTCAGTCAGGACAATTAGTTTCTCATTACAGCAAGCAGGTTTATTTGCACTATTAATAACAGGAATACATAAAACGTCCTGGAGTTAGGGTCCAGCGGCAGTTTGTGGGGGCTGTTTCAGATTAAACGCGCTTCACATGCAGTTTGAGCGCAATTGTTACATGCAAATGGATTAAACCAGGGTATAATTTATGCACCAATTCAATTTATTTTTATTTGTTTAAAGTGATTGATTAGGGTAAGTCATTTGCTAAAATAAAAGAAAAGGTTATATGCATTAGGTATTGAGTACGGAGTCAGTGCGACACCTGCAGGTGAATGCTTTGTACAATCTTTAAAAACATCAGAGAGAACAAACTGTAAATGATTGCTGTTCAGTGTTTATGAATATTATATATATAATGTGATGCGCTATTAAGTAACAAAACAATAAAGTATATAATGGATTTAAAGGTAACCACACAAACTCACAATTTTCTCATGTCATTGTATAATTGACTTGGTGATAAGCCTGCACCATATATATATATATATATATCATCACCACCCATACTTACAGAAAACAGGAGACTTGTAACACAATTTTGACAAATTTTATCAGCATCAAAAATGGTGTTTATGAATTCAAACAGCAGTTTTGCACCAGGGAAAAACACATTGATTTGTTCATAAAAATATCAGTGTACTAATCTGCATTAATCTGCAAACCTTTTGTTATTTTGGGGTTTACGAATATGTGTAATACAGTCAAATCACAATGGATTACAGAAGGCCTGAAGCATAAGCTTTAACCCAGTCACACAGTCCTGCATGAGCATGCTTATTGCTTATTGAGAGAATGAGAGGTTGGACCCCAGCAGCAGCTGTTTGACATTATGTAAAATACCTTGAATTCACTCACTGAATTTAGTAATCTTCATTGATGCTGCTGGCACAGAGATATGATCACTGCCTGGTTTATGTTAACAGCAATAGTGACAGCATTTCCTGCAGGTCTGATGGTGCTGACTGAACCTCTACATAAAAGGATTTAATGGCTTCCTGCATGCTAAATACATTGTCAAATTAATCCCACTTTTCCCACTTCGTTCAACAGCAATACATAACTAATATTGCTGACTGCAGCAACCAATAAAAATATCGTTAATTGCTACTTTTGTTCATAAATTTAAGACTTTTCAATACGTTCTAAGGCCTTTTTTGAGGAAACAGTACACATTGCTTTTTAAAACTTTACAAGACATGCAGAAAAATTGTTTAAACATCCCAAATACATCTTTTGACATTTGTGCATTAGGTTTGAGAGCTCTGTCAAAACTACATCAGCCAGTTCAAGAAGCAGACAGGTTGTCCTGAAGTTTGCGTCTCTCACCAGGTTTGACTTTGTTTGAGCAGCAGAGAATTGTCTTCCTGATGCTGCCCCTGAGATTCTGATCTCTAAAGCCGTAGATGAGCGGGCTGAGAAAGCGTGGAGTGAGGATGAAACAGAAATAATTAAAAAACGCAATGTCCTCTGGTAGCCAGTTGGCATGCAACACTAAGAAAGTTTCAGTGATGGGGTGAGTGAAGGACAAAATGCACAGCAGCAGCTGAAAGCCGTGCAGCAGCACCGTGTGCATGGCTTTGCTCACAGACACTTTGTCCTGTCTCAGCTTCCTTGTTTCCAGCAGGATTCTAACGTATGTAAAGAGGATGACAACAGCCACAACTGCAAAAAAGAGAATATATATACCAAGTTGGAACAAAGCCTGGACTGGAGATGTTGTGACAATGTTAGGTTTGCAAAGCACAGAGGTGGAGAGGATATCCACTGCAGCAGAATCCCTCGCAACGATGGAGTACTTAACAATA